AGTCAGCCTTCTAGATTTTTCCCTAATTCTACAGAGCCATGATGAGAAAACTAAAGATGGTCATTAGGGAATTATTCCAATCAGTTTAACATGGGACTCGGTCTTCATTCTCTCTCTGTGACAGAAGTTTGAGCGCTTTCATTTGCAAATTCAGTTTTGTTTTGTTTTATTTTTTAAGAGAGATTTTTGTTATAGGGTGTGTGCACTCACCAGAGAGACAGAGAGACAGGAAGAAATCACCCCCCAGGAGAGATGGCCACACCACAATCCCTTGTCCTCCATTTCCCTCTCAGGATTTGGGGCACTCACGCACACATGCTCAGTGTGAGTTTAAGCTGCTGGGTCTGGGACTTGAACTGCGGTCGACTACATGGGAGTTCAGTGGTATAACCAGTATGCCATCTGCTGGTCCCACGAATTCAGATTTTGTAATAAAATAATTGAACTGTTGGGGGTGAGAGAAGGAAGATGCAGGGGCTGCTCGGAGTCTGACCATTGCCCATCCCATGAGTGCTCAGGCTCAGGCCTTGGTTAGCTCCTCCCAACCTTCCTCCACACTGCTCAGATTGGAGTAGTCACTCCTTGTTCCCTCAAAGCACTTTGGAACTTCCTCCATTAAAGCACATAGCATGCTAGAATTACAAGTTTTTTTTTTGTCTTTCTCCCCTAATTGCCTGAGGGTATGTGCACTCACCAGAAAGAGGAAGAAAGAGAGGGAAAGGAAGAGAGAGAGAGAGGGAGGGAGAGAGAGAGAGGTGTGGTCAGGCCGCATTCTCCTCTCCTCCATTTCTTCATCCTGTCAGGAATAGGAGCACCCACACACCTATACCCTGTATGTTTTTCAAGCCAACAGGCTTGCAATTCTAACTACAGTTGGTTATGTGCGATCTGGCTTCTTTAACCACTAGGCTACGGGCCTGGCCCAGGACTGCATCTTTATTTTGCTTTTTCAAAATTTGCCAGATGATGTGTGTGCTCATGGGAGACTGAGAGGGGGAGAGAAGGGGAGAGTGAGAAAGTAGCCCCGACAGGGAATGCTCAAATCACAATCCCTTTTCCATTTTTCTCTCCTGTCTCCTTTAGAGATTTTGAGTGTGCATGCACATGCACTCGGCCTATTTTCAAGCCACCGGGCCTGCAATTCAAACTGAGATTGGCCACGTGGAATTCAGATTCCTTAACCACTAGGCAACAGAGTTGTCCCAGGGTTACAAGTCTTCAGGCAAAGGCCACTCGCCTTACCATCACATGTCCTACTCCCATGTATATGGTCTCAAGGGAAGGGGAGTGGGCCAGACTGATCCATACGTTTTCAGCTAACAGTCCCAGAACAGGCCCTGTTACTAGAAGGTTTAATATGGCATATCGTAATGCAAGACGGCCAGAGTGACTAGGCCAGGGATCCAGAGAAATCTCTGCTCACGGTGCTAACGTGGGTATGTGGGATTTCCTATGCTCTTCACCCAGCAGCCTTCTGCATTCCAATGTTCTAAAGTATTCTTTTTTCCCTTTTCATCCTTGTAAGAAAAGTTAAGGCATCATCAGAAAGTACTGGATGTACATGTGAATTGTGATGATAAATAGTGCTTGGGAATTAGGGAGGTTCCTGGTGTATATTCCCACTGCATGTCAGAACATGCGGACTAAGCTTTCACCTCTACATATGGTCAGGCGCTTTCTGGTTCCTAGCTGCCTGGCATTCAGGCCCCCTTTCTTCCAGTAACATTACCCTAGTTTTGTTTTCATTTTGTCTTTTTTGCTGTTTTAGCGTGGCTGTCTCTCTCACACAAGGTATAGTCTGGTGGGCCCACTCTCCCTCAGCCTGAGAGGAGCTGTCTGTGGTCACCACTGGCAGTACTGTGGAATGGGTGAGGGGAAGTTTCTCCTTTTTATTGTTTGCAGTGAACAAGTCTTACCTTCGTAATTTGAAAATTAAAGATTTAAGAAAATGATGCCCCAAAGATCTGGCAAGATTCAAAAAAAAAAAAAAGTTTCCTGTGGAATCCGTGCAAGCAGCAACCACAGCCTTGGTCTTCTCCAATACAGAGCCCCGGGGAACGCAGAAAGCCCCGTGCCACACTCCTAAAGTTGCCAAGAATCCCTTTAAAATGATTGAACAGATGTCTTTCCTTGGGTTTAGGCAGATATAAACCACAATGGCCTGCTTTTAATCCCCAGGCTTGGTGTCTTAGGAGCAACAAAATCAATCACTTCTAGGGTTGCTTCCTGAATGTTTTTAAAATCTACAGAATTCTAGTACTAATAACCACTACAATGTGAAAAAAAAAAATCTGTGCAGTTAGCAATGTATTTTATCCCAAGCACAAACTTCCTGTGGAGTCGAACAGGCTCTGCATCTGACTGCATGGACCAGAGGTCAGATGGAATGGTTTCTGAGCTTAGAACCAGAGGCTTAAATGGCTTAAGACTGACACAGCCATGTCCCCATATATCATCAGCAGTAAACACAGAGGTCTTACTGTTCTCTAGAAACAAAGAGAACAACAGTCTTTCCTCAGTAAATCAAACTTTAAGTCAAGCAACTTGTCACAAAATCCCTTGTCACCTCGTTTCTGGCTTTATCATATTTTTGGTGGCATGAGGAAAGATGACTTGGGAACTTCACATAAATAATTAAGTGAAAGCTTTTTGTACTTGTCAGAGAATCTCAATTCAAATTTACATGAGTGGGCCAGGCAGTGGCATGGTAGTGACCCAACTGGACCCACACGGGAAAGGTTCTAGGTTCATGTCCTGGGACCTCCTTGAGCACACTGGGCATGCCCATGGTCTGGGCTGGCTGAAACTGAGGGAGGAACGCAGTGTGAGGACTCATTGCGGTGCTGTCTCTGTTTCTTTTCTTATAGAGAAGTGAATAAACTTTTAAAAATCTTTGTTTGGGGGCGATCAGCAGATGGTGTAATGGTTACATTGCTGGACTCCCATGTGGTTGGCCGCCATGCAAGTCCCAGACCCAGTGGCTTAAACTCACGGCAGGTATGTGTGCATAAGATTCCAAGAGGAGAATGGAGGAGAAGGGATTGTAGCCTAGCCATCCCCACTGGGGAGTGATTTCTCACTTTCTCTCTGTCTTTGTCTTTCTGGTGAGCACACACACCCTATAGCAAAAACCTCTCTTCAAAAAAAAAAAAGGTTTTTTTTTTTTTTTTTTTTTTACATTAGCTCATTTTGGGTGGAGTGGATTACTGCTTCTAAGAGTTTCCAAGAAACTGGCTTACATGCTTTCAAATTAAAGCACATTTTTAAAAAGAATGATTTAATTTTATTATCATCATTATTATTTGCTATAGGGCTTGTGTGTGTGTGTGTGTGTGTGTGTGTGTGTGTGTGTGAAAGAGAGTGAGAGAGAGAGAGAGAAAGTGAGAAAGCAAGCTGCCAGGTCAGGAACTCGAACCATGGTTGGCCATGTGGGAGTCCAGCACCTTAACCACCATGCCACCCACTGGCCCTACAGAACATTTTAGTGAAGATACAAACCTTGCACCAGAGGGAGTCACTGACATTTACCCAGCGATGTGATCAGATGAGGAAAAGCTGCGGAAGCAAGAGTTAGGATGTCTCAATGGAAAGGACGAGGTTGAAGAATAGAGACCTGGGTTTGAGTGGACATTAAAAACAAAAGAGAACTTTTTGCCCCCTCTCTTGCCTGAGTTTATTTTCTGCAATAATTAAAATTTGCTTTTGATCAGTGTGTTTAGTATGATGACTTCGAGTACACAGGTACAGTGAACAATGTGCATTTAAAAAACCCCACAAACCTTAATGATATCAAGCACAAAATGAGAAATTCAAAGGACAAACTCAATAATAAAATATCTTTGGCAAGAAAAGACTTTGACTTTTTAAATTTAATTCTCCCGTGAGCCAATTTATAGACGGGTAATATGAGAGGGAAGTGATCTGGAAAAAGCCAGACGTGCTGTCGAGTTTGAGAGATGCAGGCACATCATGCGTATGTAAGAAAGACAAGCCAGGATGTGGTTTAGTTGGAAAATTACTAATGAATGTAGAGTTATGAATGCATCTAACTTGATGCCAGGTTATCTCAAAAATCTCTTTAATGTCCCAACAATTATACAAAATTATGCGATTCTTTAATTGGTGAAAAGAAGTAGGCAATTTGAAACCTAAATTAAAAATGGGTCTTATAACCAAGGTAGCCTACAAGCTGTTTGAAAAATATGCACACCTCAAATGAATGAACCAATTCAATAAAAGAACAAAACTGAAAAGGGAGAGATTGAGTATGTTTTCTGAGTAAGATTTGCTTATCATGAATGGGTATATCATTATCAATAAGGCATAGTGGTTAAGGTGCTGGATCCCATATGGCAGACTGTGGTTTGAGTCCCAGACCTCATTGGCCTGACATGGCAGGTGCATGCGAGTTTGTGCCCCAAATCATGAGTAGAGAATGGAGGAGAATGTATTGTGGTGTAGTCGTCTTCCCTGGGGGATGATTTCTCACTTTTCATTCTCTTTCTGGTGAGCACACCCTATAACAACAACAAAACAAACAAAACAACAACAAAACAAACCTATAAAAAAATGTAAAAAAATAAGATTTGTGTTTATATACAAGATGTAATATTTATATTAAAATTTGTACTTCAGAGAATTCTAAGGTAATTTTCATACTAAGACTTTATACATTTGAAATCTCTTTCCCACAATTATAACTTCGCCCACTCTTTTGGGAATATAATCCAGCTAATTCTTATCCAATAACATCTACCAAATACCATCATGTGCATGTAAAACAAACTCTTTTGTTATTTATAGAATAAGATGTTACAACTTCATTCATTTATTCCACTTTCAATTACTCTTAGGAGGAGTTAAAAATTCCTATTCAAGGCTCCCAAATCTCGTCTGCCCATTTCTATCTGAACCAGTGTCGCAGACTCAGTCCTCCCAACCTTTTCGTTATGTCATCTTTACTCATGCAGAGTCAATCATCTCACCCCAAACAAAAGCTCAATTGTTCAAAGACAATTGATTTTTATTGATGAGAAAATTTTGTAGATATAAAAGGCATTTTTTTTTTACTTATATGACATTCTTAATTTTTAAAATCTTCTTTTCAAAGATAAAAACTCTTGATGTTTTCTGATAGAAAAATAGTTTCTCAGTTATAAGGGTCCCATCCTCTTTCAAAAATGAATCGATTAATCATATCGAAAGATCTCATAGGCTGGTCATAGGGTAAAATGTGTCCTCCACCTCGAACAATCACCTTAAAAAAGAAAAGACCAAAGCAAATTTAAAATGTAGAGAAATGAGTATCCTAAATAAATGAGAAATTCTAATTCATATTAAAATAGGTTTAAAGCTTATATAAAATACAGAATGTATTTGACTAATCCACACCTCTGGATATACTACTTACCTTGTTTATAGATTCATGACTGGCGGCACCTTATGATACGGAAGTTCTAGAATTATGTAGTTAATTTTACACAAAAGTGTCCTCATCATTCTTGTATAACTGAAAATTATTTCTTATCTTTTTCTCCTGAGTTCTCTGTTCCCTATCTTGGGAGTACTGAGCTAGCTGTAAGTCTTACCTGGGTAGGCCTCTGAGGTAGGGAGCCACCCCCCAGCCCAGGTCTGCCTGGTGTGGAGTGTCTGTCCAATCCAGACAACTGGAGGTGAGTTCAGATGAACACAAGGGCCTCCCGTCAGCCAGGCTGTGTGTAGACAAAATGGGAACTGGTCTCTGTACTCCCAAGGCCTAGATTGTCAGCAAATATCCCAGGTAGAGACAGGGATATTTTCATATTCATTTATTCCACTTTCAATTACTCTTAGGAAGAGTTAAAAATTCCTATTCAAGACCCCAAAATCTCGTCTATCCATTTCTGTCTGAAAGAGGGAGTCTTTGTGATTCAGTGCCGAAAGGGCAAGGACTCTGAGTACTGGGGGGTCATGCCATGTGCAGGACGAGTCGGTGTGGCCTGAGATGTCCTGCTGCATATGTGGAGGCCAAACAGGAATCACTAGCATAGGAAGTGAGTACACTAATCAATAAACAGGCCACTCTCAGTAATAACTTCTAGCTGCTGAAGTTAAAGATCACCTTCACAAGGCCATTCCTAAAAGGCTACGTTCTTTTACCTGCCTTCATCCAAAGGGAACTAACAGAAAAAATAAACTCTATTTGCACAGTGCATGTACTGTATTACAGAAACCTCCCCCCCGACTCACATCACCCACCACCTTGCGGTGAGGTAAGCATGATCATGCTATTAGGTAACTCTTAGCATCAGCTCACAGCTGTATGAGCTGTGTGGTACACAACTGCCAGGGGGCACTTGCATCAGCACTGAGGTGACTGAGCTATCTGGAACTATCAGGTGGCTTGTCCATGTCACACAGTTGTCTGCGAGATAACCAGCTGGACCCTGACTGCTGATAGCAACACCGGCATGCCTAATGAAATCACAGTACTTGCACAGTAATCCTCGGGTTTGAACTGAGCCCTATGGCTTAGTCCAAGCACAGGTTGGCTCCCTCTCAACAGCCCTCCGAGGTAGGTAAGGGAGGCAGGTCACCATTCGCCGATGTGGGACTGGACTTCCTCCTTACACATCTGAATGGAACTTTCTGCTTTCTGCTGCACTTGATCAATGGTCACTTGTGCCTCCTTGCCTCGACTGTGGAGCCCATCTACCATCTGTCTCCGGGCTTGCACCTGGGAACCGAACGCGTCCCACTTTGTGTCACAGACTGAAGGTAAACACATGTGTGACAAGGGCCCCTTTGTGGGACTCTAGAGGAAAACTTGGGCTGCCGCACAATCTCAGGCCAGCATTTTCTTCCTGCAGGCTCTCGTCTAAACTCCAGCCTTGGCAAGAGTCTGACGACTGAGTTCTGTGCAACTTCAACTCAGCTGAGGACACTGAGCGAAGTCATGTGTGTGACAAAACCCAGCTGCTTCAACTGGAAATGAGTTTGGCAGCAATGGTCCGGAACAGCAATAAATCGAATACCCGCGAGCTAAAGGTCATCCTGCCTCCAGACCCAGAGCTGCCTCATGAAGGAGAGTGCGGGGCTTTACAGCCTGGCTCAGGAGTCAGAGGGCAGAAGTGTGAACAGAGGCACAACAAGCTGTGTGACCTTGGCGAATGACTTAACCTCTCTGAGCCTCAGTGGCCTTAACTGCACAACTGGGCAAGAAGTATTTCCTCCTGGAGTAGTTATGAGGTGTAAGGATTTCATGAAATAATGTCTGCGGAATGGTTGGCGCAGTGCCCGACCTGGGATGGTATTCAGTACATATTAGTTATTATTATCCTTTGAATAATGATTCCTATTCAAAATACAGAATCGAAATGTCTGAATCAACCTAACTATCCTAGAACACTCGGTGTTCCTAGATTCACATAAAAAACAATCTTGACTTAGAGGAATTGTTTAAAACTGGTTCTCAAACTGGAATGTGCATAAAAATAGCTGGGCTCCTTAAAGCAGACTATCCAGCTCTGAAGGTCCAGGATAGGGCTCAAGAATTTGCATTTCTTACTGTTTTAAAAATGATACTGATGCTATTGGCCCAGAAGGTGGTGTCACCGGTGATTAAGGCGCTGGACTCCCACATGGCTGACAGCAGCTAGAGTCCCAGACCTGGCTACTTGCTTTCTCACTCTGCGCCCCCTCTCCCCATCTCTCTCTGGTGAGCACACATGCCCTGTAGCATTAAAATGAAAACAATAAATAAAATGAAGTAACAAACTCTCAAAACAAAACAAAACAAAAACAAAAAAACTACTTGTCCAGGACCACTAGGCAGACCTTTTTATATTCTGTGACAGACCAGGGAATTTCTTGCTTACGTCAAGGGAGAATACAAGTAGAAAGTGTTTCATGCCGACTCATGACCACGCCTTTGTTTATTCCTTTCTGGTCACCCACTCCCTCGTATTCACTCACACATACATGCACTCTCACAGCCTCCGGTCTGTAGTAATCAAATGGCAAAGAAGAGAGGAAGCAGGTGGGCATTATAACTCCTGAACTCAATGACCTGCCTGACCCTGGTCCAATTCCTGAGCTGCCCTAGAGAAGGACCCAATGACATCATTAAGGTTGTTATTAAGACTGGAAAGAAAAGCTTGTTAAGGAACAAAGGCTATTTCACATGCCACAAAATTCCCAAAGTATGCTCATAAGCAGATTCACAGAGAGCGTTTTACTGACGTTAACCTCAGAACTGAATTTACGAGCGGTGGAAAATACAACACTCTGTTGTTTATAGCCATGCAACTCACCACTCACAAATCAAGGACACAAACCACTCGGCAGCTTTTCGAGGTGTGTAACAAAATTTGTCAGGCCATGATTACATATTTAAATGCGATAAGATTCATCTCAAGGCTCCCTGGACAGAAACAGTCTCATCGCCAGAAACTGTATATTTTGGGTGTCACCACACCAGAGCTGAAGCCTCTAAATTCATGTGTTCCAGATGTTCCAGGGGGTCACAAGCGTGTCATGAATTTAGAAAGGGTTATACAAACATTTTGAAGCTTCATTCCACTTTATCTTTTTATTTAATTTTTTTTTCTTTTTTGGCTATAGGGTGTGCGTACTGACAGAGAGAGAGAGAGAGAGAAAGAGCAAAAGAGG